AGTTCTCCTTGCAACCTGTCAAGCCACGCTTGCTGCCACGTTGTTCGTTTATCTGGCTCCATACAGGTTCTGTTATTATTATTACTATTTCAGAATATTCTATTATTATTTTTAAAATTATTATTATTATAATTTTTACTATCAAATTGTTTATTAGAGTTCCAATTTTTATGATCTTCATGATCATCATTTATTTAAATAAGATTATTTTTAACTTTTTTTCCGGTCCGAAATATAATTTATCAGTCCCTGTAGGTGTAGCAACCTGTTGAGTTGCTGATTAAAGAAATTTTAAACTTTCTGATTGTAAAAAATATTTAAATTTTGGATTATTTAATCCTGCAATAAACTGTAATACGGCCATTCGTTCTCTTTGATCACCTGAAATTTCCGATACGCATATTTAACTAATTTATCTAGATCATTGGGAAAATCAATTCAACTTTTGTTTGCAATTTGTTTTCTAGCTCGGAAAGGACTGAAATAAGCTCTGGAAAATTAAGCTTTACCAAAACGATTCTCGAAAGATTTCGACAATAAACTAAAATTTCCTAAATCATCAGTGTTCAAATTTTCTAAAATTTCCTGAGCGTTGTCCTTTGAACAGAACACTAAAATTAAACCTTTAACTTCACTCGACCAATTATGTTATCGAGCGATAGTCTCAAATTGACGTGAGTAAGATTTCCCCGTCTGAGAACCATCATATTTTGCTGGTTTCGCGAAAGATAACGAATTTCCAACGGAAGACAATGAGACAGATTTAATTAAATAAAAATTTAATTCAATAGAAATATCAGGATCAACAATTTCATTATTAAAAATAATTAATTTTGAAAGACAATAACGTACTTAATCTATTTCTGAAGTAAATTAATAAGGTTTTCTAAAGTTTTTATGGCATGTTTAAGTCATTATAATAAAGATATTGCAATTTTTAAGTGTATAACCTCAACAGACTGTGATTCAAGCAGAATAGAGACACGGTAGTTCCTTCGTCACCGCCATTTGAACTTGGCGCATGAGACACTACTAAAGTAAACGTGTCTCCTGATATAAGCAAACTATAAATTCATCAAAAATCAAGCACGAAATTATATGGAACAAGATATAGAACAAAATAATATATTATTATTCGCAACGGTTTGCTCTAAAAGAGACAATTTTTCAAAAAAATATTATTTGAAAAATGACTTCACTCTCCAAAGGCACAACTAGCAATAGAGTAAAGTTTAGTCCGTATGGTAATTCACGATAGTACTTTCAAACGTTACTCTAGACAGATTTCAAAACGAGAATTTTAATTAACAATGTCATTAAAAATGTCCAACACTAAAGCTAGAGTAAATTTCAGTATTTACAGTGATGTCAATAGCCATCTATAAAATTACAATTTGTTTTATCGTTAAAATAGCTGAGGAATAAACTATTAGGTTAATAAACAAAAATCATGTATAAAATGCCCACTCGGTCGACGAAATAACAAATTTACAATTATTAATTAGCGCAACATTCCCTAGTACTTAATACAAATAAAAATCATTCTCACCGTCAATAATTGCTCATAAGATATCAACCAGGCATTAATGTTTTTGAGTGTTCTTGCATTCTCATGCGACTTAAGGACGTCGCCTAGCGGCTACTTAACCAACTATGGAGTTTCCCCTTTTCGACTCCTAGTTTACAAAGTTTAAATAGCAATGTTTCTATCAAAACTTTTTTTTGTTTATTTCACATAAAAACACTTTTCTTTTAACTTAAGTTTGAAAATAAAAAACTATTATTTCCAGTAAAACGGAATAATATAGACTATACAGTAATTTTACGAAGGAACAACGGACTTTGCAGCAGTCGCATAAGTTGTCTGTTTCTGCAGAAATGTCGATAGTATTATTGATCGATTCAGTGGTTTTCATCGGATTATATGAAAATATCCATCTATTTTATTTTTTTTTATTGATTATGCGAAGAATGTCAAGAAAAGGTTTAAAATAATATATATTAATTTGGGAATATTTATTAAACATTTGGTTCTATCAAGAATACAGAGTATTCAAACTAATCCATGAATGCTACCCAACAAACAATGGTTAAATTAGAGTCTTAAAATACTGAAAATTGGAATGCAATAGAACCGAAGGAAAAAAGGATTCTGTCTACTAGGAATATGTTAATAAAAATTATTTTTAATTTAAAGATCATGATTGAATAGATATTTTAATGTCATGATTTTGCTGTTGTTTTACTGCCGAAAAAAACTTTTCAGGTAATGTAATGAAACTAGGTAGACTCGATCCTGGAACGCATGATATCGCAATTTTCATTTAAATGATATAAAGTATCAGTTTTGTAGTATTCGACACACGAAGAGAGACAGAGTATCTCGGACTCATTGTCTTAAGTTTTGACAAACGAAAAGGGAGGGGGATATAGAGCTGATAGCAAAAACCAAAAACGGACCCAGAATGAGAAAAACCTAGATTGTTATAAGAGGATCTACGTGTATAAAAGAACGGAAATGATGGTGGTCACTAGTAATGATAGTAAGCAAAGTTAAGGAGTTACTTTAAATTATAATAATAAAATATTTCATGATCATATAAATTATGTAATTTAATGGATGAGATGACAAGAAAAAATTATAACAATCTATGATAACAATAATGATATGATGTATACATGAAAAATAAAAAATAATAATACAAAACTAGTGATCACAATGACGTAATGGAAAAAAAAATATTGCATAAAGAATAAAAAAAAAACGTAAATAATCAGATGACTATAAAAGTAATGATAAGGATAATAATGACTGAGGTCCCAGTCGGCAGCAGGCTCCTTCAACCCACGCAGCGCTGACCTGGAGCTAGTGAGTAGTTTCTGGAAACAATAAGACTGGTGAATATTCAAAATTCTAGGTGGTGCAGAGGAAGAATGATGAGAGCAGTAACTACTCGAACAAAGAGAGGACTGGCCCGCTAGGGGCCACCCTCCGATTCACCTGAGGCGGTCCCTGTTCAAGCCTCTACTGCCGCCTCTCTTCGGTCTGTCGTTTCGGATGGCAAGGGCCGGGACGTCAGCCTTAGTGAATCTACCGCTGGAAGAGAAAGGCCGTCGAGGGAGTGACAGTTCAACTAAGATGCGAGGGCAGGGGATACATAATAGTTCTGCTCCCGTTTCCCTCTGGCTGGCCTCCTCCTCGGCGCTCGTCGACCTCACTGTTCCAGGGTTGAGCTGAAGCAGGGGGTCCTGCTGTCTCATTTCTATTTACAACAAAAAAAAACCAAATGAACCAGATCATAATGGAAATGTTTAAATAAGTGCATAGTAGGCCAAAATCAATGTGCTCAATAGGCTGAGGTTTGGACTCGATTTAGAGAAGTCCTTGAATAGTGAAGCAGCTGAGAAGGATGCAAGGAAAGTGTAGCTGCGGATAGGTAGAAGCACATATCAGTAATATTTAGTATGCATGTAAATACAGATTTTATGGTATAGCTATATTAAATACAAGTTAGCAGAAAAGAACTTTACCATTCGGCTACCCCTTAGCCCCCTTACCCCCACTTCAAAGGGGCCCGTACAGTACACGTCAAGTTTACCCTCCCGGAGTTCTCTGTAAACATATGCGTATTCACCTTTCTTCAAGTGGAGTTCGCTCATCTTCTTACCTGAACACTCTTTGGATGTTTCTTTGGCTTTAATTAAGTTTTCTTGCGCCATGCGCCGAGCTTCCGATAATCGAGTGATCAAATTCTCTAAGACCTCTGGATAGATACTAATTTCAAGTAATTGCAAGTACCTATCCGCTATGGTCCGGGAAGGCCGAGAAAACTTGTTTTCCGTTGATTATAAGAGAGGTCAGTTGTGGTTGTGGATGTGTGGGGAACCGCTAGTTGGTAAATTGGGAAGTTACCGGCGCGGCACACCCACAAGCACAAGAGTTCTCGCAATCGCCGTACGGGCGTGAGAGTATTCAGTATTTGTCAGGCTTGTGACGCTTCACGCACTTGCAATTATATTTGTATTTGGTATTAATTTTCTCCGTTTCTTAAATAAATAAATTTATAATTTAATAATAATTTATTGTTCACGTTAATAAACAATATATGTGGATGTTCCCTAGTACCCACATATTGGTGACCCCGACGTGATCTACTTTTTGTGTGCAAGATACTCTTTGTTCAGAGCGGCCATTGTGATTTTTTCCACGTGCACGTAGACAATTAACTTTTCAAAAAAAATACTTGTTTACCGTACAGAACTGATAAAATATCATGCCTAATCTACAACATTCACCTCAACCACCTGCACCGGGTACCACTGAAGCTGATCAATCGCATCAAGATAATCTAAACTCGCTTTTACTTGTTGACACCGCGACAGCAGATTCTTCATGATCTCAGAACCAGGAAATGATTGTTACAACAGCAGCATCATCACAAGTTAATCTTGCTCAAGGTATTCCTCCAACATCTACTAAAACATATCAAGATAGTGTACGACCATTAGTGTCACAGTCAGGGTATTTTCATGTGTCACAAGGTCATACACCTTATCAATGCGGTATGTTCAACCCAGCAGTAAATCAAGCCACGTCAGGGGATGTGAGAATGAGGTTTCCACCAACATTACCACCTGGTCAGCCGCCATTTTATCTACCACCTAATCCATATGCTTATCCAGTGATTCCTCGTGCAAGCTTCTGGCCTGAGAATGTCAAGCTGTGGTTCACATCAATTGAAACAACCTTCAACAGCAAGCAAGTTGTAGATGATCAAAGCAAATATGGAGCAGTCATTGGCAGGTTAGACCAAGAGCACCTCACTGCCATTGAGCACATAATTAGCAGGCTACCTGAGCAAGATAAATACAAAGCCATCAAAGACGCACTCATCTCTCGATATGTTATTACTCAAGAGAGTAGCTTCAGAAAATTGGTCTCAGGATTAACTCTTACTGGTAAAAAACCTTCAGAGCCCTACACCGAGATGTGTCGTCTTGCTGACAACGCTTTAGACGCTTTATCCATCAGGACATTGTGGTTGGATAGGCTACCTAAAGACATTCAAATCACTTTGACAGCAGCTGAATCTCTAAGTAACAAGGACCTAGCTCTCCTAGCTGATAAAATGACCGAGATTCTCAAGCCCAAGTCAACTGAAGTTAGCACAATTGCAGCAGTATCTAAGTCTGAACCTCTGAGTGAAATTGCTGAACAATTGCAAGCATTAGCTGATGAAGTACGCAAGCTGTCTTTGAGGGTAGATTCAGTGAGTAATAAGGGAGGTAATCGTGGTAGATCACATAGTTCAAATTCAAGCTCGTCTAGAAGCCGTTCTAAGTCTCCTAACTCTAGTGAAAGAGTCTGTTTTTATCACAGATCATTTGGCGACAAGGCCAAGAAATGTTTGAGACCATGTTCATTTGAAAGCAACCAGGAAAACGAGGCCAGCCATTAATAGACTCGGCGACTGCTGATGGTGTAAACAGTCCTCGCCGGCTATTCATCTTAGATCAAATTTCTCATGGACACTGGAGCACAAGTTTCTGTCATTCCACCAGCTCACAGTGACAAAAAGCAGCCTACTGGTCAATTTTTATACACAGCTAACCAAGAAGTTATTCAAGTTTTTGGAGAAAAAGCTCTTACACTCAACCTTGGACTTCGCAGACCAATTAACTGGATATTTACCATCGCTGATCTACCACATCCAATCATTGGAGCCGACTTGATGTATAAATATAATATAGCAGTCGACTTAAGTCACAGTAAAATCATTGACACTAGCACTGGCGCTGAATCATCAGGTACGTTTGCACTTGCACTTTTTAATACAATTACATCATTAAGCAGTAATTCACGTTACTCATCCATTCTTCAAGAATTTCTAGGTCTTTTAGGCAATTCTTTCAACAACGCTTCAAAGAAACATTCAGTGAAACATTACATTCCAACAACTGGTTCGCCATATTCTTGTAGAGCTAGACCACTTCGCCCAGAGCGTTTGAAACAAGCTAAGGCAGAGTTCCAACTCATGATTAACTCAGGTAACATCAGACCTTGTAGTAGTCCTTGGTCTAATGCCCTGCACATGGCAGCAAAGAAAGATGGAGACTGGAGACCTTGTGGAGATTATCGACAACTCAATAGCCAGACAATTCCAGACTGATATCCTATCGCTCTTATTCAAGATTATATATCAATCTTAGCAGGCAGGAAAATTTTTTCAAAGATCGACCTTAAGAAGGCTTTTCATCATATTCCCGTTGCAGAAGAAGATGTGCCTAAAACCGCAGTGCTTACACCGTTCGGTCTCTTTGAATTTCTCCGTATGCCTTTTGGTCTTCGGAATGCTGCGCAAACTTTCCAAAGATTCATCAACGAAGTTTTATCAGGATTAGAATTTGTTTATGCATACATCGACGATCTACTCATCGCTTCTACAACTCAAGAAGAGCATGGAGAACACCTTCGTTCTGTCTTCAAGCGACTCAACGAGTATAGACTATGTAACAACGCTGATAAATGTGTTTTTAGTTCAGATCAAATTGATCTTCTTGGTTATCGCATTACTCTTGATGGTGTTGCACCTCTACCTGATCGAGTTAATGCACTAGTCAACTTCAAAAAGCCTGAAACTATTGCTGAACTACGTCGCTTCATAGGCACAATTAATTTCTATAGACGACATATCAAGAATGCAGCTGCAACTCAAGCACCACTGAACGACCTTCTCAAGGATTCTAAGAAAGGTGATAAACGTCCAGTTCCTTGGACCTCGATAACATCAAGTGCGTTTGATCAAATGAAACGTCAACTTGCTTAAGCCACTCTGTTAGCTCATCCAGTTCATTCAGCAAGTCTACGATTAACTACAGACGCCTCCAGTTCAGCAGTTGGTGCAGTTCTTGAACAATCAGCAAATGGTTCTTGGCAACCATTAGAATTTTTTTCACGCAAGCTATCACCAGGTCAACAAAAATACAGTACATATGATAGAGAACTGACAGCTATCTATGAAGCTATTAAATACTTCCGACCTTGGCTGGAAGCAAGAGATTTTGTTATCAGAACAGATCACAAACCGTTAATACACGCTTTTCGACGTAAGAATGATAAATCGACTACACCAGTTCAACTTCGACAGTTAAGTTTTATCAGCCAGTCCTCAACAGACATCCAGTATATCAACGGTTCATCTAACAGTGTGACAGATGCCTTGTCACGTATAGATGCTTTGCGATTTCCTACAAAGATAGATTTTAACCAGTTGGCTCAAGCTCAAGCTACAGATCAAGAACTTCAAGAACTTCTAGCTGATGAAAAGTCATCCCTCAAGCTCCAGAAACTCACCTATGGAAAAGATCATCAGGTCATATACTGCGATATGTCTACAAACGATATCAGACCGCACGTTCCTGAACAATTTCGTCGTCAAGTCTATGATACATTTCACAACCTGTCTCATCCTAGTGGTTGAAGTACTTATATGATAATATCACAGAGGTATGTCCGGCCATTTTCTACGTATCTTAAATGAATAAATTTATAATTACATAATAATTCATTGTTCACGTTAATAAATAATATATGGGAATGTTCCCTAGTCCCCACAGATGGCTTAGATTAGAGGCTGTCGTGTCCTCCTCCGGTTCTGGTCGATTTGGAGGGTTATGAGATAATTCATCGGCATATGAATCTCCTACTCTTCTCGTACAACCCGCCGTGAATCTAACATTGTTGAGTTGAACCTTCCATTTAGCCATTCTAGTGATCAAATTGACGGCGTCTCTAAGCCACGCAATGCAACCATTATCAGTGTAAACTATAACTATAACAGCCGAAGGAACGGTCGGAAGTGATTCACCCCATAGGTCAAAGCAAGACATTCTCGTTTTGTTTCAGAGTTTTGTGTCTTGGAGAACTCAAGAGGCGAAGGCCACATGGCGTAGTTCCTGTGTCTTTTTGTCTTATGCATTCTCCATTTTTTCTTCTTCGCTCAACACAGCTCCGATGCCTGTTGGAGATCCTCCAGTACCTAAGATAGAGGTTTTGTTAGGATCAGGATGGTTCCACAGAGCTTATTTGATATTCTTATAGGCTTTCTGAGCTTCTTCTGACTACGTAAACGATTTGTTCAAAGTGATTCTTCAATTTTTTTTCAGCATCATTTATAGGTGTCTCCATAATTTTCATAGTTTGAAATATTGTTAAAAGTGACCGAATAGCATTAAGAAAGTTAACTTTCATTCTCAACTACTAAGTGTTACACAATTTTTAGAATAAATAAGAAAAAAATAAAATTTCTATTTCAAGCACACGATCTAGAGTAACGGTAGATACTCGGCGCCAAGTCACCAGCACTTTTCGTCCATCCAACTATTACCCCTCGTCAAACTAACGCGCTCTAGCGGCTTACATTTACAGTGCCGAGTAACATGCTACTCTATACTGAAAAATCTCTCGTGTCGTCACGACGGAATATTTAATTGTAAATGTCTCGATAACTAATCAAAATTACAGAATAATTCGTAATGTACAATTGATAATGACTGTTAACTTTCATTTGAATCCAAAATCAGTTTCATTCAGTGAGTACTCATTGAGGTACAGAATAAGCCACGCCCCTAATTCCGTTTTCCGTACATTTCAATTCAATTTCTATCCTCTTCTTTGTTGGTCTTATCTAAATGCCATTTAACGCAAACGTCTCTCTTGGAGCCAAGATTTTTCTACGATATATATAGGTATACTCCCAATGTATAAATATAGCAAATGAATGGTTTATATATTTCCTACGCTAATATTGATAAAAAATATAAATTATATAATTTACTTAAAGATTATTTTTAAATATGAATTATGTGAAACGAAAGTTTATTTAATTTTTGGATATGAATACTAATGTTTATTTATAACTAACTGGAAAAGATTAAGAATATGACAACTGAATCAGTCATAAATAATTAAAAACGGAATCTATGCTATTGATTCGAATTCTTTCAACGTGATTTTTTTTCTTTTATTGAAAGGAAGCTACTAACTATGTTACATAGATGGAAAATGACTCAATGAAATGAAATCATTTCGAATTTTTCAACGGGATTTTTTTTCATTTTTCAACTGATAAAAAGTTATCACTCATGTTGAATATATGTAATCGAACATGTTATTAATTACGATTGTAATCGCTTTAAATGAGCATCTATTAAATCTTACATCAAAATTCGAATTTTTACTGTTTCTATTTATACACACAAATTTATTACATTTTCTTTTACGTTATCTCAAAGTATTACGTATCTAGAATTAGGACATTTAAACGTCGAAATTCTTTCTCAAAACTTTACTCAATCAATCGATTCTTATGTAACACAATCATACCACATCGATTATTTACAATGAATAAGAGATTCTATTAATTCGGCGAAAAATAAATGGTTTCTTATTTCCGTTCATCAATTCTCCTAATTCATTACTGTTTACACCAGTCAAACAGCATTTACGCGGACAAATTTGTGAGAATAAGCTCGTATCATAGCATAGATAGGAAAAAACCAATACATCCTGTATCTTTTGTCAGACTTAATCCCTTTACCCTGGTGCACTGCAAATCCCAAGATTCCACAAACGTGTTCAAATAACACACATAAAGCGTTTTCAATGTAAAATGTCCATAAACAAACTATACATTATTTGTAGACACTTTTTACACATTTCATAGTGTGTGAAAAATCTATAGTTTGTTTACGGCATTTAACATTGACGAGGCTTAGCGTGTTAAAAGTGTCTACAAGAATGACAGTTTTTGGTTTGCAGTGTGGAAAGATTGGTATCACTTTGACTTCGTTTAACTTATCTCAAATCAACTTGCCTTTTGTAATCATGGCTAAAAAAGAAAAATAAATTTGGACAAACGTCTATATCTAATACTAATAGAATTTGTAATAAAAAATCGAACTCGAGATCATCACGAAAAATTTGAATTGTTTTACCGTAAATAGGAGCTTCAATTAAACTAAAGTTATCGACGAAAGAAAATCAATTTTAAAAAAAACATTCATTGTTATCTATTGATCTTTCGTGTAAGGTTAAATTACCACGGCAATTCCGCGATATTGTAAGTTCTTAATTTTCTAATGAAATCAATATTATCTAATTCAATATGAAAACTTATTGAAAAAAGTACGTTTAATCCGCCAAAAACAGATATCGTTTGATCAATATATTAAAAAACATTTGATAGCATAAATCTTATTTAGAATTTTTCTTAAAGTGTTTGACGTATCCTACTAAAACTGCCATCATCGGATGAAAGTAAAAATTTACGCTATGTACACGTTCCAAATGACTCTACAAATAACCAAATTCTCTAAAACTGAGTCTTTTTTTCCGTTACTTTCGATGGATTGTGTAAAAAAATACTCTTTCGAATTTTCTTGATACAATTTAAAAAATAATTTTGTCGATGAAAATTTATGATAAATTTTTTTTGCAATCAAATTTTACTTAACCTGAAAAAGTAGTTAGTTGAAAAAATGTCATGAGACGTGGCCCAAATTTTGTAATGTTCTCTATTGATAGAAGATTTCCGGATATAATTCTTAAATATTGGATACTTCAAACACTTGAAGAACAATTCATATTCAGACTACTATATAGAGTAGTACGAAATGGGGTACGACGAACTATAATCTGCCTTCGTGTTACGCAGCATATCATAAAGGACAGAAACATCTATGTAAACACGGGAACCAATTTAGGTACCATAGTATCAGGATAAAAAATTACATACTGGATTATAAATATTTCTATCATTCGGGTTAACACTTTAATTGATCGTTGAGAAATTTCGTAAGCCAGACTCAGATTCATAATTTGTAATAATAAAACATAATGATCAACTCTTTCAGCAAGGTCTTCATCTGTATTATTTGATAACTATTCGTCAATCAATAGCAAAAGTGTATGAGCAAGAATTATCATTTGTGCTGCACTCTGACGAAGTAGTTCGTTGACATTGAAATCAGTAGAATCTATTGTTCTAGGTTTATCTCTACTTATTTCTCCAAAAACAAATGCTGTAATTTTTTTGTTGAATTCACCAATTGAAAACATATGTTTTTCCACTATAAAGTACCATAAAAATCTTCTACAAGTTATCTCAGCTACACCTTCTATTAAAATATGCATGCAGTCTTGTGGTAAACATTTTGTGATATCAAAATATGAAATTTTCATTAAAGGACTACGACTGTTGATTCTATAAGTTTTCTGCCAAAATTGTTTCGCAGCATTCGTAAGATTCGGTTTTTCAATAGCATTCAACTGATCAATATGATTATTTAGTCGTCTCATAGTAAGCGTTCTTTCACTGGAATGATGTAGAAAATCTGATTTAACAATCATACAAGACCGACATGGGCGGTTAGCAGCTACTGATTCTTTAAAACCTCCAAGCCTCCTCGCCTCGATTATCTCGAGAACAAAAAATGATATCGATGTGGGACCAATTGCATTCGACGCGTAATTATGTAACTTGAAATTAATTAGATTTTCAGCAAAATCTTTTGAAAAATATGAAAATTTAATTATTAGAATACTTGTATGGAAATATGGTGCCAATATTTCATCGAAAAAAAAAATTTTAAAAAACAAAATCAGCAATGAAAGAATTGTAAACTCGTGTCAGGATTGAGAAAACAGCATTAAAGACGCTATAATAGTCAATAATATGAAATTGTGTTCATAACAATTGAACATTGTTACTAACAAGTGATTATTGATCATAGTAATATTTAAATAATAAGTTTTAAATTGTTATAAACAATAAAAATAGGGACCCGTTCTATATATACGAGTACTTTTAACTTAAAGATCACTTTATCGACACGACGTACATGGATTGAAAAGAGTGCAAATTCTATAATTGAAAAATCAAAAAAATATCCCCAACTGGCAAACGATGAATTGATAAGTGTTTTGCAATCAATTTTATTAGCTGTTCCTTAACATCGTTACTACACGTTCGAAGTATAAAATTAAACCTTTCAATAAATTAAATAATTATTTTTCATTATTTAAATTGTAAGTGATTTTTGATTTTTGTAATTTAAAGAACCTTACAGAAGATTTTTTAACAAAGAATATCGATCAGATGTTCGATAAATTAACCAAACTGTTGGATGTTGAAGAAAATAATGATAAAGAAAAAGCAGCTTGTTTAGGGCTTCTATATAATCGTGTAACAACATTGAAAAAAGAAAATGAAACCATTGTTTATCATTGAAGAGGTATTGTTTTTTAAATATTCTTACAAAGATTCTTTAACTAATTTATGAAAGTTCGATCAAAAATATAATATTTTTTATGCATAGGTATGTTCATCTGATGACCACCTCACTGCAGTTGAAGGAGAATCGCCACGCAGTGTTATATATACTATTGAAGACAATGTTGCAGTCGCATACATTGTTGCTGACAGTGAAATTACAATGAAAATAGAAGAACCATCAATTGGGAAGATAATTATATCGCTATTGGTTTCATATTATGTATGGGATGTCGCATATCCCAAACCGTATCGGAATATTTTAGAATATTCAGATCAAGAAGTGATTGGGACTCTAATTGACAAGAATTGACAATTGAAAGAAAGAAGCTGTCAAAGCCAGCATGAATACTGAAAAAAGGAATGAAATGTTTTTTTATTATATTACTCTAAAATATCATTATTTCTGTATTGTTTATATTACACATAAAACAATTTTAATAAAATATTTTGCTGTGCTAAATACTACAAACGTTTTTAAATAAATCATTTGCAATGTTTTAATTTGAAACATTTTCTATGTTTTTGAACCTAAATCACTATTAAACGCTTAAAAGTAGACTACAAGTCTGAAATCACTAAAAGTGGTTTAAAATAAAACATTTGTGAAACACTACGATTTGCAGTGCGGTCTCTATAATACTCTTGTATTGTAAGAGAGTGGAAAAATTTTGATTTCGTTGTTCATTTTCTTTAGATTCTTTGTTGCTAATAAAAATTAAACTATTAATTACTAAATACATGATACTTCATTTTCAGATGGTCTGATGCAGAGTGTGTGAGACAACAATTGCCTGTAACTCCAGAAAATCAACGATCCGTTCTAGGACGTGCTCTTTCTCTTGTTCGATTCCCGTTAATGTCCGTCGAAGAATTTGCCGTAGGTCCGGCTCAGTCTGGTCTTCTTACTGACAGAGAAGTATTGATTACAATAATTATATCATAATTGCGCATGATTAAAATGTGTGAAAAGTCAGTTATAATAACGCAACATATCTTTAGGTTGTATCGTTGTTTCTTTATTTTACTGTAAATCCAAAACCTGCGATTGGATTTGAAGCGATGCCTCGATGTAGGTCAATGGGAAAAGAATTGACAGTGTGTCGATTTCAACAAACGAGCCAAAGATGGGGATATAATGGCACTAGTGATCGAATAAGGTAGCTGGAATTAGGAAAATAAAACGATTTCTAGTTATTATGGTAAACTCTACGGCTTATTTAATAGCAATCTTTAATAAAAGAAGCCGGATTAATGATATGAAAAAAAAAAATAATATTTTTTCTCAGTTTCTATCATATAGAATTGAATTATCACTTTGAAATAAATATATAATAATTGTTTATACCAACAACATGTCAAGTTTCATTATTATCCATAGGGTACAAAATGATAAAAAAAAAATGAAAACAAGTAGACCATTTTATAACCTTGTTGACGATTTCAGCTCTTATTTTTTTTAATAATATAGTACTCAATTAAATTGTATGACATATTTGGTTTCTCAATATTGGACATAAAAGTTAGAAAGAAAATGGAATGATCCTTTCTGACTAACAGTCGAATCCATATTGATAAGAAAAAAAAAATGTGTCTAGTTATCGTCACTATTTTCATTAATTATAACATAATCGTTATTTGCCGGAAAAACACTGCATAATATTCGTGATGGGCAAACTATATAAGATTTATATATTGTGTTTGATAAAAAATATTTAATTGCCGCAACGTGGAAGCAACGCCCAACCGGCCAATTTTAATTTGCAGAGTTACAGCAATAATACTGAATGTCTTCGTGGCTTCATCCATAATTTCAGTTAAATATGAAATGGCTTGTGAAAGCTGGTAGGTACCAGCCGGACATGTTTCCCTGTCCTCAAAAGGACATTTTATTTGAGTACTTTGCTTTGTAGAGCATTCTGGGAATAATTCTACTTAGAAGTAGCGGATACACACATCTAGCCTAATGTGCGCAGTAATACGACAAATATGTCTAAGAGTCGGAATGTTTGTGAATCACTTTGTTAACCCATCACTTTTCTAATTCTTCTTCAGAAGCTGTAAGTTTATGTCGTTTTTTTTTAGTACTGACATGAGCAGTTTGTAGCTTTTCTTAGTTATGTATGACTCAACGTCCGTTAATCCACGGTCTGCAATTATAAGATTATTTTGATGCAAAAGACTTTTCAAACCAAGGGACTCGTCTAATATGATTTTTATTATTGTAGTACCACTTTGTGTTCTATAATAGGGATCTGCGGAATCTCTTATGTATCTCATCAAGAACAGCCGGCTTCTTCTGGGCTGCACAAAAATTTGCGCCAAGCATCAATAATGACAATGATAAAACTACAAAAAGTCCTTAAATCATTGAACGCTAATGATTTAAATCTAAGAATCAACAATATTAAAAATAAATTGTTTTCTTAGGTTTTTCTTAAAAAAAAAAAATACTCGTTATGGCACATTCAACATAATAACCAATGACTTGGCGTGACTGTTGAGATTTTAGAGAAGCATGAAATGTCGATCATGTTTAAAATATTAAAGCAAATTAATAAGTAGCGGTCACGCCAAGTTATTGGTTATTATGTTAGATGTGTCATTGTTTTGACTTGGTATTCGTACGTAGCTCGTACTCAGACGACTCTTAGTATCATCGGACGTATCATCGGACGATGCCAATAGACAGACAACTCAGTATAACAGTTAACTCGGTACGTGCGTATTAGCAAAGAACTCATGCCGTCGAACTCTTTGGTGAAAACCCAGACAACTCCACAGAATATTTCTTAGACATAGAATAAGTTAACAGTCTATCATCTACAGTGATAACTGTAAACTCATCAATCAGCCTAACTCTCATCAGACATGGTCAGTAAGCTCAAGTTGGTCCGAATCAGCACCTTCCTAACAAAAGGCACGAACGATGTCAGCTTCGACGCCTCACGGCCTCATAGACAGACACACACATGAGGTCCACACACAAATAACTCGCTTGTGCCTCTGTGACTGACGCCAACGTAGAAAAACTCAGACTATTCACAAAATCCAGACTACTTCTGCTCTAGGGACCAGTCCTAGAAAACTTACGACTTTTCAATGATTTCCTACTCATTAGATAATTCATCAGTGAACTCATTATTAGCCATATCAGTAAACTCTTTGTATGAAATATCAGTGAATGCTATATCACAAATCTCGGTGAACTCAAGACTGTACACAGACAATTCAAAGGCGCACCCTGTAATCTCGTTTCCATCTTGTTGCACCAGCTCATCGAAGTCATAAGAGTAATAGAGCGTATTTTTTTTTTAAAAACCTAAGGAAACAATTGATTTCTAATATTATTGATTCTTAGATTTAAATAATTAGCATTCAATGATTCGAGAACTTTTTGTAGTTCTATTACTGCATTATTTATGCTTGGTGCACATTTTTGTACAGCCCAGAAGGAGGAGGCTGTTTTTGACGAAATTTCACGATTTCTCGTACATCTCAACTAAAATAAGTATAAAAAATACCAATTAATTTAGAAAATATTTTAATTATTTGTAAATTCGCGCTTAAATCAGAATAACTTGTTACCAATTTTACAATCTGTTAGGCGGAGAACTTCATGGCAATCAAAAACTCGGATCACCAACTTGTTAAAAAAAACGTATGATTACTCCAGAATAAACACTCTTTTTACCCAATTTTTGCGCAAGAAATTTTTTTTCAATTTCATATATTATAAAAAAATCAATAATGATATTTAACAGTGTGTGTAATCGAAAGTCAGCATTGGCTTCCTTATCAAATTCTTGATTTCAGCGCATGCTCATGTTAGAATATAGAAAATCTTTTAATTTTGAAAAATTCAACCTGCAAAAATCATCTTATAATTTGTATGGAGACACGGTAGTGTTTTGTCGTGACGGAATGGCCAGATTGCGACGATTTATGCTTGGTGCACTAGACACTACAATGGAATGATAAAATATCTTCTGCAAAACTTTATATTATTTGCTCGCAATAAATTGCCGCTTTCATTTTAATTTCAATAATGAAAATATCATTTTATTTGAAATACCTTATCGTAATTTCATTAAGAAAATCACTGCTGCTTGAACAACATTACGCTAAGGATAAGACTCTAATAATGTTAGAAGATTCGACAGTTCTATGTTGTTTTCCTAACTTCCTTGATGGATTTGAGGCAATTAATTGTTAACTTTAAAACAACAGACACATTTCATTTTTTGAAAGAACATAAAGCAACAGTTGTAAAAAAATAAGTTGATGTGACGTTCAATAAACCCTTAATTGACTTTCAAGCAACCGTTTATATATGGTTAACTTAGAGTTTATAAATCGCACATTCGAACGGTTGATTTATAGTTATTTTGAGGTAAAGTTACCCTAAAATAACTCAAAGTAAACATTAAGTTTACTATTAACCTAATTGCAACTCTCATTTAACAGTTGACATGAGTTCACCAGGGTTAGTCCAGTATATACTTTTAGTTTTACGTCAGGCATGTGAAAATCATCTTTCAGTTCTTTTTTAAAAACTTGTTTTCTTTAAAATGTCGTGAACAACAACGATTTCCACTCAGAATGAAAATCTTTCATTTAACATAAGCTTGATATCGACCCTTTATTGGTATCGTTACGATATTAGATTTTGAACTACTCGAAATACAGTATTTATGAGTTGAAATTACTGTCTTTAACGAAAGTATTATCAAGTCTTTATTAGAACTATGACGTGTATTCTAGGTAATTTCCAAAAAAAAAACAAATACTCGAAGTAAAATTCCATGGTACAATTAAAAAAAAAATAATTAATAATTAATAAATGTAGAACCCTATTTCTGGAATAAGTACTAAAAACTATTTAAGTTAGGTACTTTCTAATGCCTAGAAGAAGGCCTCTATCTTCATCATAACAATAATTTTTTTTTTGTCTGCTAATTCAAATTGTGAAATATCACGTCAATCTGTTTCTACATCAATATGGGGAGTTTCTAATCATGTGTTATCAGTAGCAGGTGATTGAGTATACTACATTTGTGATACCGAATATTTCCAACTTTAAATAGCTCCATTTGAAAAACGTTGTATTTATGCACTTCATCTTTGCAATGTTTCTTTTCGTTGTCGTCCTCCGCAATAAAGAGCCACTATTATTACATTTCCTAGAAATAGTTCATATATTTTCAGGTTACTGTTGTATTCACTGGTTATTAGTAACGCTGACGTGCAGGCTAAGTCTGATTCAATACAATTTGAAAGCTTCAACAAAGTGGTCATAAGATGGTCGGCTTACTTTCATTATTTTTCTTAGCATGTTGCACCTTAAGAATTTTGATAAAACTTTGCACGCCGTTGGTTAAGGTATAGACAACTATGATATATTATTTTCCAAGTGGTAATTTAATTCAATCTGATAGAAATCTATAAAACAAGCTGTAAAGTTTACCATTACAACTGGAAGTGTTTTTTTTTCTAGCTTCAAAATGAACAAAAATATACCACTTTGAAAAAGGTCGCTTCCAGACATTTTTCTTCAAACTCATTTTTCTGCGATAATTTGTTTCTAAGCCGATAGTTAAATTTTTGTTTATGATTTTTTACAAACGAAAAGTTTTTGAAAAAAAATTACTCATTCCAGGTTCAGTGTTGATCGAAGAATATTTTTAGTCGGTTATGGAGTTTACGGAAGTGTTCATGGACCGGCTGAATATGAAGTACTGATAGAACTAAGTCACACAGCGTCTGGGAAATTAATAGCAACAAATACAACGAGTTTTAGTTGTGACGGATCAAATTATACTTATAGATTGATGTTTAAAGAACCAATCGAATTGATAGCAAGCACTATTTATACGGCATCGGCAACATTTAAAGGTCCTGATTCTTATTACGGAACAAAGGGTATGAGACGAGTAACAGTAGAAGGTGATTCTGGAAAAGGAGAAGTGAAATTTCAGTTCAGTTTTGCTGCGGGTGATAATAACGGAACTACAATCGAAGATGGACAAATTCCTGAACTCATTTTTTACATTTAAAATATTAAATGATGAATCATGATTTATTGATTGGATATAAAATTGATTTCTAATTTAATGTGTTATCTATTGTGATAATCATTCATAATTAGTAGAAATAAGAATAAATATTTAATGTAATAAATAATTACCTCTAGTTTCATAAAAATCAAAAGTGGTTTTCTGGATCAAGATATCAATTTACGAAAGTTATCTATAATTATTGGGTTGATAAAGATGATCAAGATATAACAAATACATATCTAAAACAACTGTGGAAGAAGATCTTCAAGTTATGAATGAATATTTCTAGTATTTGAGATCGAGAAAAACTACAATAGTTAGAGGTATTTACTGAAAAAATTGTACTATACAGCTGGGAGTGTAAGTTAAGAGTAAATTGAGTATGAGTTAAGGTGAGTAATAACCATAGGTACATCTTGTTCACTTCCCAGCTAAAAGTTATTGTAATAAGTCTGATATTGGAAATCCTAAACTTTGACATATCCCAACGTTTCAAGGTCTTCAAAGTCGAATACAACAGTTTTCAAGTGGACGTCTATACGTGTGTATAAACGTATGTGCGTTCAGAATTTTTTTTACTTTGACTATTTCAAGAACTAGAAATGATATACACGTAAGAACAATCGCAGAATTACGCAACTCAAAACTGATTAGGTTTTCCGCAGAATCGGTTAAGTCATTGTTTATACAGTATCGAAAATCAAAAAAAAATAAATGTAAACTAGCTGAATTTCTGAGGTTCTCAATCATACTTTTTATCCGCAACAAACAGATATTGCCTGATATCTGTTAAAAACAGCGCCAACATTACCTTCATTTGACAGTCTTATAATTTCAAATTGCTCAAGATGTAAAAAATGATCAAAATAATGATATTGCACTAAGTTCTATTTTTCATGATCGTAAAATCATAAAGTTGTTTACTCGCAATTGGTCAATACAAAGAACCTAACAAGTATAAGCAGAACATTTTTGATCAAATGCTTGATTAAAATTTTATATGAAATATTAATACGATTATGTTTGATAGAAAGTATTCGTCACACTGTAAGAGATATTGTCCTACAGAACCAACTGTCCAATACGAGTTTATTTCATTTGGGAGAAAAATCCTTCATAAGTTTTATGTTAGTCGATATTTATTGAAATTTTTCCGGTCTGACGAACAGTATAAGATGTCTGGTTTTTATCACATAATACATGATGAATATCAGTTATACATATACAGTACCTTATCCTATACCTTTGTTTAAACACAACTGCTTCGTCGTGGTGAAAACTACACTCTCAACTTGCCTTACAAGGAAACCTTGCAAGGTGATTACCGTCGATTTAGCTGAGGCATCTATATAATAATCTACGTCGAAAATGATAAACTACGTATTTATTTTTTTTGCGGACCCTATACAATAAAAACAACTTAAAAAATAATAGAAAAAATCTTCATTTACATTTTTATAAAACTTGCAGATACAGATTTTTTTTTCATTAAAAATTACAAAAAAAAACTGTAACTCAAGAACTATTTATTTTTTTTAATAGGACCGATTTCAATCAAAAGAGCATAAAAAATTACGAGATACGTGTCTTTGCAATTTTTACAACAACATCGAAATCAATGCCAAAAAAAACATTCTCTTTTTCAAGCATACTATTTTATACACCTATAGAATAATGACTATTAGCCATAATTAAAATGAGTTCAAGATGCAGAAATACCCATTCCCGCAGTATTAAAGATGAATGCGAAAAAAATGTTACAATTTTTTAAATGATAAAATATATGTCACATTCGTTTAGAATGCTAGCATTGGATAATCCGCATATTACAATTACAGAAATAATTTTCCTCAAAAATGGTTTATCAGTGACTTTGATAAGAATTATATTTATGTTTGCCCACATAACGATAACAAAAAATAATATTTTTACTAATCGTGAACTATTAAGCCTCTGATTACAACATATTTTATTCGGTGATTATTGTGACTATGAATGATATATCAATAACAATTGGAATTTTTTGAATTCTGATTTTGTTTACTGTCGTTACTGTTATTTTAAAAATTACTAGGACGCGTAACTCGTAATTTATTATGCTCTTTCAATTGAAATTTCTCTCATTAAAAAATTATTGTGTTTCTTGCCCATTCGAAACGTTTTTTCGCATTGTTTACTAATTCTAAGTAAATATTTGTACGAATACTACTTGTACGGATCATGTGAAACTATTTTTAATGCTATAATATCTTAGGATAATAAATAAGAACTAGTAATCCACAGTAGATAGTATTCACTGGTTAGTATTTAATAATTACAAGGACAATTTAAGTGGTATTGTATAAATTATTATTTATAGTCGTTATAGAAATGTAGTTTACTATTTATAGCATTACTCAATAACGCAATAGAAAATAGTAAAATTTTACTTGATGAAGTAGGATCTTGTGAGAAATGATCCCATAGTTTTTTATAAAAATATTCGATTTGTGGATAAAAATTATATATAGTCCAGTAGCGGTGCAATTTCATTAGCGAACTCAACCTCCCATTTTGAACCGAGGTTATTTATATGTAGAATTGCACGAGGATTATGAAGAAACTATTCGCAGGCAAAAAAAATGTATGTGTCATTAAGTTTTTTTGTTATAAATAAATTTTGCCTGCTTAAGCCCGCACATTTTCATTAATAACTTTGCAGTTATGCAGAAATCGATGATACTTCATAGGACATTTTTTGTTCTCTCTCGTCTAACGAAGATTTCTGTCACTTTACTTTTTTTCCGCCTATTTTTTGGGATAGTCGATTTCAAAAAATGACAAAGATCTTGCTAACTATTTCACAGTTACAGAGAAGAGAGACCAGTATAGAAGTCCAATGCTGTGTTAAAAATCCGGACGAAGTTTCGGTCAACATGTCGGTAATCTCAGGTCACAACATGAAAGTTTCTGTATATCCATCGAGCAATGGCGCTGCAACGGTTTATTTCAGCCACGCCCCTTAATCTAAGAGAGAAAAGATTTGTGTTCTCTTTTACTCTCATTACAAGAATCCTAAGCCAGTTTATTGTCAAGCACAAATTTTTAAATAGAAAAGGTCCAGCACTGTTCGCAACATAGATAGAAGCTATAAAACCGATTTGATATTCTTGTAACAGCTCAGAGGTAACACACTCGTCTACAGAAACGGAGGTTTTGTGGTCAAGCCTATCAATGTTATTTTTTTTTCTAATTAATTGTAATAATGAATTTTTTTAGGACAAATTTTATACGCAATCACATTAAAAAAGAGTAAAAAATGATGTACGACCGAAACAATTTTTTTGTAACAAATAACCATATTTATAAGGAAAAAAAAGAGAATTTAATTATGCATGATGATAATGAATCAGAGGCTTCGATAATGATATTTATAATATTAATAATATATTTTGAAAGAAATAATATTTAATAATATAACAAAAATTTTTTTAAAGAATACACTTTTTTAAAGAATATTGGGACTGCTCAAAAGGCCTGAAACTTGGTACTTGAAAACAGTTTTTTAAAAAATTTTCTTGGGCAATAAAACCTCTACTGTCCCAGCAGCCTTAAGGTAGTTCGTTTGCTATAAAAATTTTCTTAGGATTTTTTTTAACCAATCTAGAAATAAAGATAATAAGAAAAGAAAACTTTTCCTCAAATGAAAAAAATTATTTATCGATTAAAATTGAAGTTATTAACGATTAAAAATTTCAGTATTTCACATTGAAGTCAATGTAAATTCAGCACATGGCGAGGTTTTTTACCATTCATTTAAGAACGGTTCTATAGATTTATTTTAAAAAATTACAGGGAGGACACACAATTATGGCACGTATATTAAACTAATGAATGACTTATTCTGTCGCGTCAATACGCTGTTAAAAATTTTTTTATGACAAATTTTTCACTATTCCCAATACGGGACATTCACGTGTTTATGACTTGCCAACGTTGTATTCGGTGCGAAGTTCAAGCGTGAAAAATTAAAATATACGAATATATATAATATGTTTCATTTATTACTAGTAAAAAAAATTTTCGTTGGTACAAAAAAGTAGAGAATAACATTTTCATGTTATAAAAAAAATACTTTCAATAACAAAATTTAGATACTATTTTAATTAACTTTTTAAACAACATATTCTTCAAGTTAGAACTCTTTTATCTTTAGTAACTATTAGTTATTTTTCGTTATTATTTAAAAATATTTTTTAAAACAAATTTTCAAATGATATCACAATTAATTTCTTAAACAACATATGACTTTAATTAAAAGTATTTTACCTTTGGTAACTATTGGTTTCTTTTCTATATTTTTTAAAAATACTTTTCATCACAAACTCCAAAATAATATTATAATTAACTTCTAAAACAACGAATTATTTTAGTTAAAACTCTTTTATCTTTAGTAATCATTGGTTTCTGTTGCATATTTTTTTCATATAATACTCTGATAATGCTTTCTTCCGTATAGTTCACAAGTAACTTAATAACGAATACTATATTCAGCTTGAAGTATAAAATGCAACGTTGTCACGATCTCACTATTAACTTATGTTTAATCGTTACCATATTTTGAAGGGCCTGTACTTATTTTTTGATACAGCCCGAAGCGAAAGAGCTACCTTAACTGCATGCCAGACTCTTACGAGGTTAGCAGAGTGGCTAGAGCGTAACTTTTTTCTATTTTGTTTTATTATTATTATTAAACGTATCATTCAAAAGTTTAATATGTAGAGTCACAAATGGGGACTTGACTAATAAAAAAATTTTTTTTGAAGATGTTGCAGGTATTCGATTTTGATAAAACTTATAACAATAAAATCTACAGATTAAGTACTATTTTTCAGAATTTTTTTAAAAGTGGTCACTCTGTTAGAACTTACTAATTATAGCCAAGAAAAATACATTACTATTAAAAAATTTATTTATTATTGGCAAAATAATTAAGATAAATATATGTAATATTGTTTATAGGTTGGCTTTGAAATCACATTCCTAGCTCTATTAGTTTTAGAAAACGAAAAGTTT